CATTATTTATGTTCTTTTGTTAAAGGTAACAACTAAGGGAAAAGGATAGTATATAATTTTTTAAAAAAAGAAAAAAAAACAAAAAGAAAAGAAAAAAATGATGATAATAAAAATGTAGATAAGTTTGGTTTCGTAGCCTTCCTAACCTAAGCAATTAAGCCCGAATGGGTGTTTTAACACTTAATAGCCTAAAGTCAACTGACTTGGGAGCTATTGACCCAACGCTTGTTACAGGGGTTGAGGAGAAAAACTTAAGGGAATCAAACATTGCACTATCTACATATCAGTATCTACGACCCGAGTTACTAAGCTCGTAGGGGTGTCTCAACACCTAATGCCCTAAGACCAACTAGTCTGGGAGTCATTAGCCGAAAGCTCGTTATATGTGTTAAAGATGCATGATGTTTTAAGTTATATGTATATATATATAAAAAAAAAGACAAAAATAATAATCCTAACCCAAGTAAGTTAACCTTAAACATTAGAAAAAAAAATTTATATTCTTCCAAGAAAAGCCCTATAATTATGTGTTGATAAATTGAGCATAAAAGAAAGGTTTGTTAATATCTTATTAAGAGGTATTGAGCAGATATATAAATTTAATGAGAGTTTATTTATCTGGATAGATTAATGGAAATTAAATGATAAATATCTTGCTTTGTGGAATTTGCAAATTGTTATTCTATTTTAACGTTTTGATTACTAGGGACTAGTAATAAGCTGGTTGGGGGGGTGTGATTAGTACTTAAAAGTGCATTTTTATCATGGTTTTATATCATCATTTTGCACTTAAAGTATCAATAACTATTTAACTAAAGCATGTTTTATAATAATATATCTAATAATATCAGATACCTTTAATTTGTGGTAAATGTTCATTTTAAATGCAGGCTTATCACATAAATGAAAGCATTGATTGATGACTTTAAAAACTCAAATTGCAAGGGCAAAGAGATGACCAAACTTAGAAAAGAGATGCTGGTGTAGTCTATACCAGAACACTGTTTGGTAATTGTGTCATATCTAGAGTTGTAGATATCAGATTTAGGTCCAATTTATATGGATGGAAAGGTAAGACATAGGCCTACAACTTTCATATAGAGCCCAAGATCTAAAAAGGCCATTTTCAAGTCCAAATAGTAGCAACAACAAAGAAGCCCGAATCTGTCTTCTAGCCCAAGTACTGTTCAGTATTTGGCCCATCTCTGGAGTTCTAGAAGTCCAAATGAGCTGAAATTTTTACACACGAAAGCTAAGACAATTTCCTACAACTTTCATGTTTTCAAGTGGCTCTAATTTTGACGTTATCAATGATGTTTTGTGCAGACAAGAGAAGATAAGGATTGTCACCAAGTCAAAAGTTGGCCACCCACTTATCAATTAGTCATCAAATCAATAGTTCCCAATTTTGGCCTATAAAAGGAGGCATTTGCCATGAATTTAGGCATTTTGGTTTCCAGATCAAGATCATGCTCTTGCTTTCTCTCTTTGTATTTTTTGTAATGTTTATGCTTTGCTTTCATTAATATCAACTTTATATCTTTCATTTCCTTTCATTTACTTCGCTAACTTTTATCTTATTTATGTTTTTATTTTGTTTATTTATTTTTCTTTCTTTCATTATGTCTAGCTAAGTTTATTATGTCAAGCTGAAAAGGTTACACTAATAGTGTAAGAATAAGTATAGTGTAAACTTAATATGGACTTTAATGTTTGATACTAACATGTTTTGTATTTGTTATCTTGTTCACTCTTTAATACTTTGCTTGTTAAATGACTAATCTTGATTTATATTGTATAACACTTGGTACAACAAATGCTTAGCATTTTCATAGCCCATATTGTATGGTATAACCGACACCTGAGCTATGAAAAGAAATTGATTTGTTGTTAACATAAGTTATAATCATGAATACTTGACGAGATTTACAAGTATTAGTATTAATCGAATAAGATGACTAATGTAATCATGTTAACAATATATAATCTGATTGGAACCTCCTTTGTGTGTGGTTTCCAATTGAATAATAAGAGTTTATACTATACTTGTTTGACATACCATTAGTGGATCCTCTAACCTTGACATTTGTTATTATCATTGTTTAATCGTTACATTAATATTTCATCTCAAAGTTCTCATCATCTTCTTCTTCTTCTCCTTCTTTTTCTTTATTATTATTATTATTATTATTCTTAGTACTACTACTACTACTACTACTACTACTACTACTACTACTAGTACTACTACTACTACTACTACTACTACTACTACTACTACTACTACTACTACTACTACTACTACTACTACTACTACTACTACTCAATTTGAACACTGACACAAATCATATTATTATTATTATTATTATTATTGTTATTATTATTGTTATTGTTATTGTTATTATTATTGTTGTTATTGTTATTAATATTATTGTTGTTGTTGTTGTTGTTGTTGTTATTGTTGTTGTATTATTGTTATTTATAATTTGTACAATTAACCTCCTTGTGGTTCGACCTCGGTCTTGCCGGGTTATTTATTACTTCAACACTCCTACACTTGGGAGAAGACATCAATCTTTTAGTCGTGTCAGTTATAGATGACAATAACAATAACAATAACAATAACAATAATAATAACAATGACAACAACAACAACAATAGTAATAGTAGTAGTAGTAGCAGCAGCAGTAGTAATAATAATAAAATAAAATAAAAAGAAAGAGAAGGAGAAAAAGAAGAAGATGATGAGAACTTTGAGATGGAATATTAATATAAGGATTAAACAACAAATGTCAAAGTTAGAGGTTTCACTAATGGTATGTCAACCAAGTATAGTATAAACTCTTATTATTCAATTGGAAACCACACACAAAGGAGGTTCCAATCAAATTATAAATTGTTAACATGATTATATTAGTTATCTTATTCGATTAATGCTAATACTTGTAAATATTGTCAAGCATCCATGCTTATAACTTATGTTAATAAAAAATCAAGTTCTTTTCATAGCTCAAGTGTCGATTATACCATACAGTATGGGCTATGAGAGTGCCAAGTATTTGTTGTACTTAGTGTTATACAACATAAATCTAGATTAGTCATTTAACAAGTAAAGTATTAAAGAGTGAACAAGATAACAAATATAAAACATGTTAGTATCAAACATTAAAGTCCATGTTAAGTTTACACTATATTTATTATTACACCATTAGTGTAACCTTTTCACCTTGACATAATAAACTTAATGAAACATAATGAAAGAAAGAAAAATAAATAAATAAAATAAGAACATAAATAAAATAAAAATTAATTAAGTAAATGAAATGAAATGAAAGGCATAAACAAGATATTAATAAAAGCAAAACATAAACATTACAAAAAATAAAAAGAGAGAAAGCAAAAGCATGATTTGATCTAGAGACCAAGATGCCTAAATGCATGGCAAATGCCTCCTTTTATAGGCCAAAATTAGGAACTATTGATCTGATGACTAATTAATGAGTAGACGACCAACTCTTGACTTGATGACAATCCTTATCTTCTCTTGTCTTCCCAAAACACTATTGATAACATCAGAATTGAAATCATTATGAAAACATGGGATCATGCATAGTTTTTTGAGAAAAAAGGAGCACACCAAAGAATTCTTGGTGTTGTGGTTTTATGAGTAAAGCGTGTGCTCATGTAGGTATGTTATTTGCATCAAACAATAACAAAAATAAACATAAAAAAACATATGATCTTATTAAAAAGAAAGGCTCCTTTAACGGACAAAGTCTTATGATATTATGAGTTAAATTACGAACAAGACTAAAATAAGTTGAAATAATTATGATCAAAATTATTTTAAAGCATAATTAGACAAAAACAATTAATTTGGACATAATAGGAGTAGACTCCATTTTTTAACTCTGGTACACCTCTCTTTAGGCCAGCCCCCCTCAAAAGCTTTATAAGGCATTTCAACAACCACAAACACCCTTTTAAATTTAGGTCTCTCAAAAATTCATGTTGCCTTCTTTGCTTCTTAATCTTACCATTAATGCTTTTAATTTTCTCAGGCATTGCCTCTAGTGTGTTTACTGATCCTTAAGTATGACTAAGTAGGGGATTTGTACTTATATTTAGAGTTTCATCAAACATTATTTACCTAGCTTTAATTAATTATATGAGCTTTTTCTTCAAGACACTGTAGGTATGAATGTTATATCTTGCGGTGCCAATATGGTATTTGCAAGTAATGTTAAGTTTATACTATTTTGGATAAGATGGCTACAAAGATGTAAGTGGTTCTAAAACTATATGTTTTATACGCATTTCATTTAAGGAGACTTACATTTCATTATTTTCTCTAATAAACCAATTCACCACGCAATAAAAAGCTCCTCCCCCAACAGCACTCACGATGTTGAAGTCGAGAGGGAGGCAAAAACAGTGGCTTTTAGATCTGGAGTGGTGAAGTGGAGAGAGGAAGCAATGATTGAGGATAGAGGTTTTTAAATCTGTAAGAGAGAGTAAATGAGAAGAAGTTGGAGAGAATGGCTGGTTACAAGAGTAGATGATGGAAGCATGCTGTAATCTGTAGAACATGCTTGAACTTCATAAAATTTATTGTCATATTCTTTCAATGTGTACACGTTCTGGGACTTTATTATTTGGAATTATATTAATAAAATACTATAAAGATGATGTTAAAATAATATAAGATGCTCTTACAACAAACAAACCATTTTATTGAAGATTAATTTGTTTCATTAGCATGATTACATATGCTGGTTATTTGGTACAATCTTCATGACAAACCTTACACGTATATATATCAGTATAGCATGAAAAACAGAATATTTCGTCTGCTGATCAACCAATTTGTGGAATATCTTTCACAATTCCACATTCATCAACCCACACTCGGACCCTGTCCTCACGGAAATCCATGGTCACCATCATTCCTTCCTTCACAATCACAGCACCAACCTTGGGATTCTCTCTTACGATGATTTTTGCTGCCACTTCTCCTTTTATTCCCACTAGCTCCGGCCACGAACGCTTTCCCGCATCTAAGGTTACCAAGAATTATAGTTAATGTATCAAGAAGAATGGTTAAATTAAATGCATAGCCACATATATATATATATAAACTCATTGGCATGGCTCTCATGCACTGTTGTATACATAAATAAGCACATTACAATAAAATCAATCGCTTACCAGAGTAATCATCTGTCATCTTTCCTTTCTCTTGCGATGTGATGGATTAAGGGAAGGAGATGGAACTATATATAGGGGAGGCGAGGATAGTTTTCAGCTTTGAGACCTTTTATCTATCCATTTGTCTGTTTGGCAATTAAAATTCTCAATAGTCAACTTGTTGAATGCTAGCCAATTGCCAGTCACTATGTTTGCTTACACGTAAGGTCCATTGTTGAACTTATTTTTCTGAAATTAATTTAAGCAATCCATGGGAACCCTATAGAGTGATGTCTACGACGCTGGAATGTTGGAATAAGTAGTTGATGACGATGAGGATGAGGATGACGACGACGACAAGGAAGAGGGCGGCCTATCCTTTAATATACAACAGTTAAAATGTGGACAGAGCATATAAATGCTCCACCCCTCTACAAGCATCAAGTAGAACATGTGTGTCGCTAAAAACTTGATACAGAAAAATTTACATATTAATTTATCATAAATATGTACTATCAGGTTGTGATGGAATTAATTTATCATAAACAGCCTATAATATATGTTTTTATTGTTTTTTTAAACATAAGAAAGATTCAAATTATTTTTATGAAATGTTTTTGGAAATGTTTTTTGAATTTAACTGCATGAAAACAAGATATTGTTTTATTTTTTAAAAAGAAAAATTAATTTAAAAGTTTTGAAAAAAAAAATTCAATTTTTTTTGAAATTTTTAAAAAATATTTCAAAACAAATTAGGTATTTTAATATCAAATTTATATCTTATTGTATAAATCAATAATATGATATTATACAAAATTAATAAAAAAACATGTTAGTAAAATATAATTTTTTTGAATAGATTTATGATTTTTTTTGTTTTTTTAATAATATATAATATTATAATATATATTATTATTATATTATAATTAAATATATTGGCTGGGCTGTCATCAGTCCAGCGTATTTGGACTCATCTTTTTTAGGGTGGGCTGGCCCGCATGGACTAAGGCCATCAAAAACTTAAACCTTGGCATGCAGTGGCCGGGGTGGGGTGTTTGGGTGAGAGAAAGATGTGGTTATCTTGCCTGTACGGGGGAGAAGAAAGACTGGAGGCATTCCTAGTGTTTTGGGGAAGATCTTTAGCGGTGGCTAGAGGTGATGGTATCATCAGAGATGGAGAAAAGAAGGGTGAAAGTGAGGCCGGTGGAGAAAATAAATCTTCATAACAAGATGAATTTTTACACGTTGATTTCTCAAATAATAAAATGTAAATCTATTTATATGAGGTGAAAAATAAATTTTTATTTTTTAATTGTGTCAAATCTTGACCCTTAGTTCAACTACAAATAGTTTCAACTGTTTGTTTAAAGTAGACATTGTGAGTTGTCAAATTTAGTAAAAAAAAAGCTGGTAAAGATGGTCATTTTAGACTATCACTATGGCTGCTGTGGTGTCAATCAACCTAAACAGATCATATTAGGGTAAACTCATATGTCAAGTGATCATTTTCATGCAAGTTATGTCAAATTTGGTGAAGGATGGAGATATTAAATGCACCTGCAAAGTAGCCTCTTCAACAATCTTTTCAAAAAAAATTTAAGAAAAAGATAAACAGTAATCAAAACGATATTGTTATTGTAAACTTCATTGTAGTCCTTCAAATTTTGATTTCTCTTAATCACACCCCTGATTGGCTTAAAACTTTTAATTTTATGTAATTGTACCCTTTACGAGCTTCAATTTCAACCCTGAGATTTAGTGTATTTTTCACATTGATTTTTGGGTTCAGATTTATGCAATTTGACCTCCAATTGACCATTTGATTAGTACTTAAAAGTATACTTGTATCAAAGTTTTATATTATTATTTTGCACTTAAAGTATCAAAAACTGCTTAACTAAAGTATGTTTTATAATAAGATATCTAATAATATAAGATACCTTTAATTCATGGTAAATATTCATCTTAATGCAGGCCTATCACATAAATAAAAGGATTGATTGATGAGTTGAAGTATTGAAATTCAAATGACAAATAGATGGGCAAACTTAGAAAATAGAGGTTGGTGCAGTCTAAACTGAAACACTGTTCAGTAATTGAATCATATCTAGAGCTGTAGATCTCGAATTTAAGTCTACTTTATATGGATGGAAAACTAAGATATAGGCTTACAACTTTTATGAGAGTCTAACATTTAAAAAGGTTGTTTTCAAGTCCAAATTGTAGCAACAATGAAAAAATCAAAATCTGTCCTGCAGCCCATATACTGTTCAATGTTCAGCTTATATCTTGAGTTATAGAAGTCCAAATGTCCTCAATTTTTTTTCCTGAAAAGCTGAGATAATTTTCTAAAACTTTCACGTGGAGGTCTAGTTCAAATCCTGACGTTATTAATGACGTTTTATTCAAACAAGAGAAGATAATAATTGTCACCAAGTCAAGAGTTGGTCACTCATTCAAGAATTAATAATCAAATTAATAGTTCCTAATTTTTGCCTATAATAGGTGGCATTTACCATGCATTTAGGCGTCTTAATTTTCAGATCAAGATCATACTCTTGCTTTCTCTCTTTGTATTTTTGTAATGCTTAAGTTTTGCTTTTATTGATATCTTCTTTATGCCCTTTATTTTCTTATCTTTATTTAGTTAACTTTTATCTTATTTATATTCTTATCCTATTTATTTATGTTTCTCTTCTTCATTATGTTTAGCTAAATTTATTATGTCAAGGTGAAAATATTACACTAATGATGTAAGAATAAGTATAGTATAAACTCAACATGGACCTTAATGTTTGATACTAACATGTTATGTATTTGTTATGTTGTTTACTTTTAATATTTTGCTTGTTAAATAGTGAATTTAGATTTATATTGTATAATACTTGGTACAACTAATACTTGGTACTTTCATAGCCCAATCGTATGGTATAACCTACACCTGCGCTATAAAAGGAACTTAATTTGTGTTAACATAAGTTATAATTATGAATGCTTGATAATATTTACAAGTATTAGCATTCCTCAAATAAGATAACTAATGTAATCATGTTAACGATTTATAATTCAATTGGATCCTTCTTTGTGTATGGTTTCTAGTTAAATAATACGAGTTTATACTATAGTTGTTTGAAATATTATTAGTGGATCCTCTAACCTTGACATTTGTTGTTATCATTGTTTAATCCTTATATTGATCTTCCATCTCAAAGTTCTCATCAACTTATTATTTTTCTTCTTCTGTTACTAATATTACCACTATTACTACTATTACTATTACTACTAGTATTATTATTATTATTATTATTATTATTATTATTATTATTATTATTATTATTATTATTATTATTGTTGCTACTAATATTACTATTATTGTTGTTGTTATTTATAATTTATACAATTAATCTCCTTGTGGTTCGACCCCGGTCTTGCTGGGTTATTTATTACTTTGACACTCCTGCACTTGAGAGAAGACATCAATCTTTTGGTCGTGTCACCATTAAACTTTTAATTTCACCCTTGATTTCAATCAATTAGGTTCCTATAATTCTACAATTCATCAGAACCTATAGAGTGATTTCTACAATGGTGGAATGATGATGATAAGGGTGACCTAAAGTAATTCTTAAACATAATTAAACTTTAATTTGGTTTATGATTAAATCTAATTGGCCTATTAAAAAATCCAATTATCTCCTTAGACTTATTTTTTTATGTAGATTCATCTAATAATTATTTAATTTTATCTTGTATCTGCATTGTTCCTTTAATCTTGGATATAATAGGGTATAATTGGGCTTCAAAGTACATCTAAAATTACAGATTAATTTTTCTATATGTTTGAAATCCTCATCAGCTTGCTTTCTCCACGTTGCAAGCCTTTATTTTTTTTAATTTTAAAAGAAAAAATAAATTTGAAGAATAATCTAGAAATGAGTTATGACAATTGTCCTCTAACGAGACTTTAGATAGTAACCTTTGTAAAAAAAAAATGAGAGATAACGGACTTACCATATCAAGAAATGATGAATCCTTCTAAAAATATTTTAAATAAGGGATAGAAAAGCACACTAAGAGGAAAAACTGAAAGGTTTTTTTTCTGAAGTGGTAGAGTTGTACAAGAGAACCTACTTATTAAAGAAATTTAAAGAGTTTTGAAATGGTCGAATTGTCATGGGTGACTCACTTAGAAAAAATGAAAAAGAGTTTGCAATGTGATCTCATTGTAATGGGTGACTTTTTTAGACAAAAAATGAAAAGAGTTTTCGAAGTGGTGAAAAATGCAAAGATTTTTCAAAGTGATTTTATTATAATAGGTGATCTATCCAAATAAAAAACATAAAGATTTTTCAAAGAGATCTCATGGTATTGGACGACCTACCTAGGTAAAAAACAAAAAGATTTTTGATGGTGGTGAAAAATACGATAATTTTTCATAGTAGTCTTATTATAATGGGCAACCTGCCTATTAAGAAAAATACAATGAATTTTCAAAATAATCTCATTGTAATGGGTGCCCTGCTTAGAGAGAAATACAAAGACTTTTCAAAATAATCTTATTATAATAGGTGACCTATCCAAGTGAAAAACTCATTAGAAAGATTTCTTCATAAATTTGAATTGATGGATGAAATTTGAAACGAATAAAACTTTTACAAAATGGCTAAAGAAAAAAATTGAAAATCTAAAAACTAAGGATTAACTATAAAAAAAAAAAAAGTTATATTAACTTGGAATTTATGGATGGAATTGAAAACAAATAAAATTTCTATAAAAGATCAAGAATAAAAATTAAAAATCAAAAGAATAAAAATTAAAGTTGAAATACTAACAGTAAAGATGACTAAGTTGTACTTTCTAGGGGATGAGAGAAAAAAGAAAAGATAAGAAAAGGTTCACCAGTAACAAATCGGACCACTATAACCAACACATGCCACTCCACTAGTAAGAAGACGTGGCAATACTTCTAATGAAATGGCATAAAGGTATTTTTGAACATGGGAAGTCACCACACATGTTGATCAAATGGCTCAGTCAACTCTCACGTGCTAGGGAGTGCGCTTCACTAACCTTTTTGTTTTTTTTATTTTGTTAAATGTCAAATTGCTCTTAAGT